AAGTCACACTGTGCTGCACATGGGCACAACTACCAGACCCAAGGAAAGCGACTGTTGACCCCAAAATGCAGGCCCCACATGGCTTCCTCTGCTTTCAATGCCCAAGAAAAGCTCAAGAGGGAGCTGGGCTGGCCCAGTATGGGCACCCACAGGGCCAGGCAGCAGAACCGAAAGTCGGAAGCAGAGCTGGGTTTGCTGGGCCCTGCCAGCCCCTCAGGAGGAAGTGAGAAAGGGTGACATGGTTGGGTCTGCATGCAGGAGGAAGTGAGGGAGAGCCGAGACCCCCTACCCCGGGAAGCAGAGCCTAGGGATCTGAGACAAGGAACCCCAAAGCCTCTGTTTCCCGCCATCTCACACAGCAGCTACAGTGTGGCCAGGATCACCAGTTCTCGGGTGTCCTCCACACTGCAACATGTGCCACCCAGGAAGCCAGAGCTGGCCAGCTCAGGCCCACCTGGGGCCACCAGGAGAGGAGCAGACAGGGCTCGTTTCCTCTTCCTGCCCCAGCCAGTGTGTGATATTGCCCAGCTTGGTCTCCAGGCCTGCAACATGAGGCTACATCTCCTAGTGAACAGGGGAAGCATGCAGGAAGAACCTTGAGCAGCCTGGGGACCACAGCCCCTGCCCTGTCCGGCTCACCAGTCTGGCCTCCTCTAAAACATTTGTCCACCCCCGAGTCACCCTAACTTCTACCATTCTCGAGCCCTGCTTGGCAGGGAATCCCATCTCAAGCAATGCACTGTTGGAAGGAGTCAAGGACAACTGCCCCTGCCTCACCCTTTGTGCCTTGGACTCTACTCCACCAAAGATGGGTCCCAGCACTGGGAGGCAGAAGTGGAGCCAAGTCTAGAGCAGCTGGCCTACCCTGAGGGAATAGCAGCCTGCAGCAGGCTTTGAGTCACCTCCTCCCAAGCCCTGGCTCCTAAGAGAGGAGGACAGGACCCTAGCTCTGGCATGGAGTTGGGGGAAGTCCTGCAGGGAGTACAGCCATCGCAGAGAGGGTTCAGGGCCTCGGGGACAACAATCCACAGCCCTGAGCTAGTTCAGGTCCCCTGCCCTTGGAGTCCTTCTCAGTGTGACCCCAGCTGCTGTCCCCGCACTGGGAGCCTGGGCCCAGGTGAGTGTCTCAGGGGCACATGAGAGCCTCCTTTGGGGTCCCCGGGGTCCTTTCCCTCCCCCTGCAGGGCTCAGCTATCCAGGCACAAGCAAGCACCAGGGTGCTAAATGCAGTTTCTAGGAAGTCACACATGTGGGTTCAGGCTCTGAACATAAAGGCCCACTTCCAGACACTCACTGCCAGAGTGAAGGCTTTGGTGATGAAAATCAAAGGGCAGCCTTAGGGGAGACCAATGCTCTTGAAAGGGCTTCTACAAGGAGCTCCCTGACCCTGACAGGGTACTGCAATGGTTTCGGGTGACAGAGATTCCACCACCTCCCTGTCATCCTGTGTTCCAAGGCTCAGAACTCTGCCCATAAGCTGGCCCTGCCTAATGACTGCCATGACAGGATCCTGTGGCTGGAGCTGCCTTTGAAGTTCAGGAGGTCACCATGTCTTGCTAGTGGGTTCCAAGAAGAGGTCTGGCTGATGTCAAAGCCTGGAAAAAGCAGCTGGAAAGCAGGGAAGCCTGCCAGGTCCCAAAGGGCCTTAGGCAGCTGGCACTGAGCAGAGACGCAGTCCCCTTTCAGGACCCTAGAGACCCACGGCTGGCAGCTCCATCTGAGGGCCTCTGGTCAGGGCCTCAGGCTATATCACAGCATGGTGAGGGTGTCCTAGAGAAGGAGGGCAGAATCACCAGAGATGAGAGGGAGCAGGAGATGGGGAGGGAGGTTCACTCTCCATAGTTCCCTCTCTGGGAGCCAAGCCTTGCCACCATGTTAGCCATGGTGTCTCCAGCACTGGCTGTGACCTTCCACCAGACCAAGCTCTCAAAGCTTCCTCCGATCGCATGTCATCACACTGGGACTTGGCTTCCAGACACGCATGCTGGTGGCCACATTCAGACCCCATCCCAACCCAGGGACCAGCATCCCCCACAGCTCACAGCTGAAACAGAGGAAGCAGGATGAAGGGAACCTGGACACCGTGCCCTCACTGATGGGGAAAGCTAATGGCAAAAGAAAGGCCACAACCTCCATCCAGACCCTGACCTCACACTCACAAAGACACTGCACATGGTCCAGACTGCACCTTCAACCCGGCCATGCAGCACCACAGTACTGTGGTCCCAAAGGACCATGTGTGCAGGGCAGGCCCCAACTGGACACTGCTGGGAGATGGGCTAGGGTCGAGCCATGCAGGGGACCACGGGGACCCCTTTATGCTTTCCCCAATATCAGTGTAACTATATAGCTGGAGAACATAGACCACCTAACACAACACAAAGCCAAAAATTTGGTTTGCGACTTTTTCACAAATTGTAGGTAAAATACAAGCTCTGTGTAACTCTATCCTGTCCTCTCTCAAGGTTCTCCGGGTGCAGGGCCCTCAGGACAGGCGCCTGTCCTTGTCTATCCCAGAACTCTGTCCCTCCCTCCCACAATAGCAGTACCAGAACTGGACCTGTGGCTCATGACCACCCTGAAAGGAGATGACTCAGCCCCTGTGACTCAGTGCCAGGACAGACACAGCACTGCTCCAAGACCATGAATCACATGGCAAGTGAGGAAAACTACTTGGGTCAGACCTTGTCATCCACACATATAAAGCAACCATCAGAGCTAACTCAACGAAGGGGAATGAAACTCTTCAGTTTTTCTTATCTCTTTTATGTCTCTTGCAACTCCCACCAGCAGTGAGACTCAGGGAAGGCACTGGACGTATGTGTTCCTGTGAAATGTTCCCCAGAGCAAGAAGTGTCTGTGCTGCGGTTTTGTGTTTTTCCTTTGACACCTCCATTCCTTGGCATTTGCTTCTGCCCTATCAGGACAAGGCCAGTTCTGGGGCATGCTGGCCCATGTCCTGCTGTGTGGCCAGGGTGTGGCCCCACAGAGGGACCCTCAGGAAAGGCAGCTTCTGGAGAGGCCTCTAGTCAGGGCCTCTTCTCTGCCCTAATTCTTCTCAAGAAAATAGACACTGGTCAGTCAGCACCTGCGGGACACACAAGTGCTGATGGGCTTCCTCTGGGTCTGTGCTTCCCCAGGCAGGACACTTTCTGTCATCAAAGTCCTGTGTCCACAACCCTTCAACCTCCAATCAGGCAGCGCAGGAGAAGCCTGAGTTCTATTGCGCCTCTCCTGGGCCATATTCCAGCCAGACCTGCTCTGTCCCGAGCCCGGGCTTTGGTGGCCACGTGGTCCCCAGCTGCCCACATCCTCCTTGTCCACGGAGGAAGAGAATCAAGTACCAGGCTGAGGAAACAACAGGAGGAGAATCTCAGAAAGGAAGCTGAGGCAAGGATGTGACACAGGCAGCCACCTAATAGGTGCCTCCCTAGGATGCTCCTCCCCAGGAGCAGCAGCAGATCGCAGCAATGGACAGGCAGGGAATGGGCCAAATGGAGCACCAAGGAGCTGGCCAGTGGGTGAGGCTCTGGATCATGATGGAGGGTTGCTCTGGGCAAGGGTTGCTAAGGCCCTCAGTCTGGACACACACTCGGGGAGTGTCACTGCATGCAGACACCATTCTAGATGTCATCAGGGTAGGGGAGCAGAGCCACAGTGGGCTCCCCAGGAGGGAAGTAGGAGCAGCCTGGGGGCTCTGGGGTGCACCCCTCCACCATGACCCACAGCCCAACCCTGACCCCCATCCTAGGGTCCCACCCCCAGTGTCCAGGCTGAGATAGAGGATCACTGCTGCCGTGCCAGAGATCCCTGCTCCTGGCTCCAAGGGCAGCAAGCACCTGTCCCAGGCCTGCCCCTGCCTGCACTCTGCTGGCCCTGAATCCTGCTCTAGGCAGAACCTCACGTCTCTCAGATCCCAGGAGTCCTCTGCCAGTGTCCAGTGCCCCATCCTGTCCCCAGCCCTTCCTCTCCTCCCAGTAGAGCCCCCATGCTTCCCTGACCTGGTGTGCTTGTCAGCCAGCCCCAAATACCTTCCCTGAAGCTGGGGCTCAGCCATCATCACAAAGGGCCATGAGGCTGGAATGGAGACAGTCCCCACAGATACCTGCCATGCCGGTCACCAACACCCAGATTCCAAAGACCACATGCACACACACACACACAGTCAGTATAAAGCCCCTCATGAAGAACTGTCCTATATCATGAAGTGACAGTTAGTGTAAAGGTTCAATGGACATCTTATTAACATGATCTCCCCTGTTCTTTTCACTTTCCCGATATGTTTACTGGAAGTTTATAGCCATGTACAGTTGGTGTCCCAGCTCTTTATAAGCCCCACAAGGTGTCACCTCCAGACTCAGCCACCTGTGCCCATTTCTGACCTGGGCACCTGGCTGTGAGTAGTACTTGGTAGACCAATTGATTGACTGATCCCGAGTCCTTAAGGAGAATCCCTGTCCTTTCCTAAGTAAAGAGGAGTCACTCCTCCTTGGCAGAGCCAGCACAGAGCAGCACCTGGGCTTCCTGGAACCTCAACAATCACTTTACTCCTCCTGGGAGTCCCCACCCTTGACCCCGATGCCCCTGACCTCAGAGCCTCCTGGGAAGCCAAGGCTGCTCTGTCCCCTTTCCTGTAGAAATAGAATTGTGAGTAACAGGATTTAGGACCAGAGAGTTGTAGAGAACAGGGAGACCGGAGCCTGGGGAGCTCAGGACAGGCACAGGTGAGAGGGTCAGGAGAGCAGGAGTCGGGAGGGCATACGAGGAGGAGGGGGGAGGCCCCCAGTCTGGAGGAAAGGGACAGAGGAGAAGCAGCCAGCAGTGGAGAGGACAGCAGGGGGGAGGAGCACTAGAAAAGGAGGGTCTGAGCTGGGAAGCAAGGAGGGAGTGATGGGAGGGGCTGGAGTCTGGGAGGATAAAGCAGGGCCACCCAGGCCAGCTCTGTGGCCTCTGCATCACTGCCCTCTTTGTGCTACAGCTCCGGTGTGGTGTCCTCAGACATGGCCTCATCCCTGCGCGTCTCTGTGCTGCTCCTGGCTGTCCTGGTCTTGGGCCTGGCCATGACCCCCATGGCCTCGAAATCCTCCAAAAAGTGGCTTCGCCTAATGGGAAAATTGGAAAAGGGAGATATTTTCAATGAGGAGATACAGAAAGCAGTGGAGTTCGCCATGCAGGAGCACAACAAGGACAGCACAGACCAGAACCTCTTCCGTGTGACACGGGTAGTGCGAGTCCAAGAGCAGGTGCGTGGACACTGGAGGACAGCCCGGGAGGCGCGGTCCTCCTGTACATTCTGCCATTCCCTTCACTCTGCTCCTTGTCCCACCCTGCCCAGTGCCTATCCGGGTGGGCTGCAAGCTCTCTCTCGTGCAGGGATCTCACCAGGATGGATACCCATGAAGTCCCTGGGGTCCCTGCAGGCCTTAGTGGGTGTGACCCTGACTCCTGCACATGAAGCCTGGCCTAGACCCTGGTAGGCTCTGTGTCAGACACCTGAGCCTTAAACCTGATTCCAATCCCAGCTGGCAGAGACACCAGGTGCCAGGCCAGAGTCAGGGCCCCTAGCATTAACACTCTTGATCACCTCCTTCTAGACCAAGAACTGTGTAGACTGTGAATCAAGTGACCACACCGCAGGGATAGGGACCCCACTCCTGTCACTCCTCTAGTGACCTCCACCCCATGGCCTTCAGCTCCTCGGTCTGTCAGGACCTCAGATTTTTAGAGCAAGCACAGCTGGAGTGAAGGGCATCCTGGGCCCTGAACCCATCCCTCTCTGGATTGCCCTTCCCCATGTGGGTCTTGCTCCTGGCTTCCCCTAGCATGTGGAGCTGTGTGTGGAGAGCATGGATCCTCCTGGTCCTTGGGATGCACCCTGCAGTGGACACTGCCCACTCATGAGGATCTGCCCTTCACACCCAAGACCCAGCTGACCTCAGTAAGCCACACTAACACTCAGTCACCACAGAGCCTCCCACGGTGTGGCTGCTGTCCACTGAGGACACTCCCAGCCCTGCAGCCCATCCTGACTCAGCCTCCTCTCCCCTGGAGCAGCTGCTCTGTGCTCATGATCTTGGCCTGTCAGGGTCTGCCCAACTAGATGTATGTTCCTGAGCCCCAGGGGCATTCCTAGCAAGGCCGGACAGGGAGTGAGGGCATCCCTAACATGACATGGGCTGTGATGTTGATGCCACCTCTTCTTGTGTGTGTTCTCTATGACATCATGCAGTGAACCCTTAAGGGCCATAACACAGTCCGGGGGGGGGCTCCACCCTGAGCTCCAAGGGTCCCTGTAGGCTGCAGGGTGCAACCTGCTGCTGAGCCAGGGAAGAGGAGTCCCGTGGGTGGAGAACCAGGTTTCTGAGGGCCCAGCTCTGCTTGGTCCTCAGGTTGCAGCTCCCCTGGTACAGCATCCAGTGCATCTCACTGGGCACAGAGCCTGGAGCTGGAGCCGCACCACTCCTGGACAAGAAGTGCTGGTTCAGTGCCTTGGAAGCTCCCTGAGTCGGCCTCCCCTCACATAGCCCAGACCAGCGGGTCCATCCCTGCCTCCTGCTTGCCTACTCTGCTTCTGTCTTGCTTGGGTGCATGAGATCCCTCTTTGTAGCTCCTTGGAAGGGAGCAAGGGAGCAAAGTGGGGCCGTCTGGCAGGATTATGGGGAGTAGTGTGGGCTGGGGCGGGTTTGGCCTGAGCCCTGTAGAGCACAGTGAGTCCAGTGCAGTCCATAATTGTGCAGTGAGGTGGACAGAGCACTGAGTGAGTCCGGGCTTCTGTCCTAGGTGGTGACCGGCATGAACTACCACCTGGACTTGGAGATTGGCAGGACCACATGTGTAAAGAACACATCCAACCAGATCAACTGTCCCCTCAGTAAAGAGCCGGTATGAGCTGGATGTGGGCAGGGGCGGGCGGTGCACATACTTGGGTAGTGTGTGTGTGTGTGTCTGTGTGCGTGTGCAGGCATGTCTGTCTGTCTGTCTCCCTGTCTGTCTGGGATTGAGATGGTGTGTGCATGTGTGTAGGCACATGTGGAAAGTTGCACATGTGCACATATGTGGGGAGATGAATGTGGGCTCACATGTATCATGAGACAATATGAATATACACACATGTAGACAGTGAAAAAGTGCACACATGTAATGTAGGAAGTGAATATGTCCACATGTATGTCTCATATGCACATGTGTGTCAGTGGGAAGATGTGTGTGTGTGGTGTGGTAGTAAGGAATAGATATCCTCAGAGGTGGGGTGCATGTGAGTGCATGTACCTGCACATCTGTGCACCCATAGGGTACCAGAGCTGACTGTGTACACAGGACTGATTGGGGTGTTGAGTGGGACCCTGGGGATCAGAGTTCTGGGAGATGACCTCTGCCTTTGGGGTGCTCCTGCTAGGCAAGAGAGGCAGCAACAGGACTGGTGAGGAGGGAGAGGGCTCTGCAGAGTCCTTGCCTCACCCCACCCAGAGCCAGGCTGAGCAGGTCAGGCCTGAGAGGGCTAAGACCCTGCACTGCCCTCAGCCTCCAGCCTCTCCTGACAGCTGGGTCCCTGGAGGCTAGGCTCTGGGTGTTGAGTCCCTGTCATCCTGCCCACCCCGCCTGTCTGAGGGTCCCCAGGCCTAGTTTTCCCCTTGGAGGGCTGCCCTTGGAGGGAGGTGCTGAAATGGAGGTGCTGGGCCAGTGAGCCCCTTATGGGCCTGGCATCGCCTGGGCTCCTGCCCTGTCTGGCTGCTCCCTGGATGCCATGGGGGATGAGAACCTGGGATCCCTGAGCTGGGGGCAGAACCATGCAGGAACTTCCCCTTAGCCACTCTGCCTCTCTTGTGTTCATGGCCAATCTTTCTCCCTCTCTCCTGAAGCTGCGCTCACCGTCCCTCTCTCTTCCTTCAACAGACGCAGCTCTGCTCCTTCTTGGTCTACTTTAGGGCCCGGAACAAGTATGTCATCCTGAAAAAATCCAAGTGTTACAGGGCTTGAGGTTGTGCTTTGTCCAGGCCATAACAACCATCCCTCACCCAAGTGCGTGTCCCCAACCTTGGGATGGAGCCCAGCCCTGGTGTGTTTCCTTGGTGCCCCAGCACCCAGGCTCCAGGGCAGCAGGCTCCTCTGGGCAGCATGGACACCCACGAGCTTTCCCCTTTTTCTTTCTCCTGTTCTTCTCAAGTGCACCTTAGGGGTGTACCTGGCCACCCCTGCCTTCCTCAATAAAATCTACACCAGCTCCCTTGTGTGGCGTGGTCTCAGGGTGCAGGGCAGGGGTTGGAGAAGCTGTCCCTACAGCTCGGTGCTATGTGACTGTCTCAGGGTCCTTCTGGTCAATGTCACACACATGAGGTGGGGCTGAGTGACAGACACTGAGGCCCCACACTCTGTCACATCACCCTTTCTTGTGGGGTCCTCCCTCCTACCCACTCTCTCCAACTGTCTTCAGGGCCCTGGCTGTGCTCTAGAGATGGAACTTGGAGAAGGTGACACACCTCAGGCTCAGTGACCATCTGAGTAGGGACCCTGGCCCAGCTCTGCCTCAGCCTCTGGTGGATCACAGTGGGGTTTTATTTGACTGAAGGCTGAGAGTCCGTAATGCAAAGCTCTTGGGACCAGAGCGCTTCAGGTCTCAGCGATCTGTGGGATTGTAGGAAATCTTCACATGCATGATGATGTCCTGGCGATGGGGCCCACATGTGAGCACCTTGTCCACGTAACCTGATGCTGATTGCTACAGTATGATTCACTGCAAGAAGATGGTTAGAGGGAGAAGCAAAGGGTACAGCTTAGGTGGCTGGAGGGGTCACCATGAAGTGGGGTTCAGGCTGACTCTCCACACAGGTAGGGGATTGCTGTCAAGGACTGGGCTTGGGTGGTCAGTGTCTCATCATCTCTGTCATAGTTCTGGGATCTCGAGGGCTGAAGATGGATGGTTTCCTTTCCAGACGAATCCCTGGGATCTTAGTCACCAGAGATCCCCCTTCCCTGGAGCCCAGGTGGTCACAGGTGCATGTCAGTGTCTGCAGGCTCCTTGTCAACTCCTCACCTTGTGTCCTCAGTCCTGCAGGGAGTGAGACCTTGTGAATTCAGGGCTGAGTAACTCTGTCCAGCCAGATCCTAAATGCTCACCAGGTCCCATGTTGAGCTCAGAAGTGCTCTGACCCAGGACTTCCAGTGACGAGGACACAAATGGCAGCGGAGCTGTGTTCTGTCATTAGCCACACTATGGGCCTTGCAGCTGGAATGAAGAGCCGTGGCTCATGGAAAAAAATGGTGCTTAAGTCCCCGTGGGTCCCAGAGTAGAATGCAAAGTGTGCTGGTAAGGAGCAGCTAGCACGCACCTCAGCCTGGGACCTCAGGTGCTGAGCACCCACGAGGTCAGGCGCTGAGGTCTGCATGCAGGCAGCAGAGCTCCCCTTGCTGTAACTCTCCCTGGGCTCTGGGCATGCGCATGATTTCCTTCCCACTCACAGGACGGCGCCTGTCTCCCCAAGTGCTCCTCAGGTTGTGTGCCTGAGGAATGCGGACAGAACACACTTGTAAACTGCACAATGAAAATCCAAAACAAAAATACCAAGAACAAAACAAGATAACTGTGTAAGAAAGATAATTTAGAATCCAATCCTGTCAGAATTAGAGCCCTTTTAAGTAGAATATATATGCTTATAAATGTGACTTTGGGTTCACTAATCTTACAATGCTCCAGTTAATCATGCTAATTATTGTAATATTATAAGATTATTGTAAGAATATATTGTAAGAATTATTGTAAGAATATAACCTAATAAATGTCTATTTTACAATGCTGGTGTGAGTGGATTACTAGAATTTTGAGGTGTTTTCTCAAACTCTTTGCTTTGGAAGATTTGTGCACTTAGAGAGTGACATAAACTTGACCTCCCAAGAAATCAGTAATAATTAGAAATCAGTAATAATTAGGATCACATAGAAATTTTACAAAGCTACAAATCAATGTAGCTTTTCATTGCTATGTAAGGCAAAATGTAAAGCAACATTTTGATCAGCACTGATCAACATTTTGATCAGTTTTGACCTACTTTGTTTCCGACCTGGGCTGGTTCACCCCACCTTAGGCAAGCTGGTGGTCCCCCACTCCCAGGAGGTCACCATATTGATGCCAAACTTAGTGCGGACACCCGATCAGCATAGCACACTGCAGCCCAGAACTCCTGGACTCAAGCAATCCCCCCACCTCAGCCTCCTGAGTAGCTGGGACTACAGGCGCACCCCACCATGCCTGGCTAAGGCAAATTTTTGAATGTATGGGTCAGTAGTATAGCTACAATCATGACTTTTTTTTTTTTACTAAAAACATCTTCAGATTTTAACAGTAGTAACAACAAACCAGACAGTGGTTTTAGAACCAGTATTAATGCCCACAAATAGACATTGCCTGATACACAAGTGCGTCTCATTTGTACAATAAATTATTGAGTCATAGCAGTGGCAGTGTTAACCACGTGGCAGTTTCCTCACCTGAATGGCACTGAACAGCAGCAAGAATGTTAGGTTCTATCAACCATTCCGTAAGTTTCAGGTCCAGATGCCAAGTGTGTTGTGTTTGACAGCACTTACTGATTACTGGGCAGGCATCAAACTCGTGCTTCCTTAGTTTGCACACACTCACAGCATGCATAGTCCTCGCATTACACATCTCAAGTCTCAGACACAGGAACTGTCAAGTATACTGTAATTGCCTACACCAACCGGTGTTCACTTAAGCAAAGCTGTAAACTGATCATTTAAATGATCCCTGACTGGGTTGCACAATACTTTGCTAGGTAATCAAATCCTAAAGCAGACAACGGAAGAAATTATATTGATAAAACACAAACCTTTGTTTTTCAGGGAAGTTTCTCTAAATTCTTACTAAGAGGTAATTAATTGATGCTTTAAGAAAACACTGATCTGTGCATACATGTCAGTTTCACGTTGATGTTACAAATTTTGATTAAAAAAACTTTTAAGTTTTGAAATTATTGCCAAACTTACGATGTTTAGAAATTTTCTCTCATAAATTTGTTTCTTATTAACTTTCTTTTTGTAATTTAAAAATGCTTATTGAGGGGTCCAGGGATTTATCTCAGTGGCAAAGCACCTGCCTGACAAGTATGAGGTCCTGAGTTTGATTTCCAGTACCCTGTCAAAAACATTATCAATATGCTTTAGATGTATGTGTTGATAACATTGGTCATAGGGAATGCATACCTGTGCATGACGTATCTTGGCTTTTTTATTCCACTTCTCTCCCTTCAACCCTTCATCCCCAGCTTATTGACAAAGGCTTTGTTTCTATCTGTTCTCTTTTATTCTTGTCCCTTCCTTTCCTTCACCTCTCAACCTGGTTCTTTTTCCCATTTGAACATATTCTTACCATTTCCTAATATCTATTATACATTTTGGTTCTCATTTGCATATTTAGTTTCCCATGCCAGATAAACAATGCAGTATTTAAACATATTTGTGCAATTTGTTTGGTCTCAAGGTGCATCCATTTAGCTAGAAATTTCTCAAGATTATCCTTCTTTATGGCAGAGTAGTTTCCACTGTATTAAAAAAAAAAGATTTTCTTTTTACTTTCATTGGTTGATGGGCATTTGACCTGTTTCCAATATTTAGCTGTTACAAACTATGCTGCTCTAAACATGGGTTTTCGTCTGTCACTTTGGTATGATGCTTTTAATTCTTCCCAGAAGATACCAAGACTGGGTTGAATGGAACCTCTAGTTTTAGGTTTTGAGGAATCTCCACACTGATTTCCACAGAGGTTACACTAGTCTATACTCCCACCAACATTCATTACGGGTTGATTTCTTGATAATAGCCATTCTTTCTGAAGAGAGATGAAATCTTAATGTAATTTATATCTCCTGAATGCCTGTGATGTTGAATATTTTTTCATATATTCATTTGCAATTTTTATTTATTCATCTGAGAAATGTCTATTAATTTCAGATGCCCATTTTGTGACTGGTTCTTTAAGTTTGTGGGATTTCATTTTTCTTTTAGTTTTTTACGTATTCTAGATATTACTCCTTTGTCTAAGAAACAGTTGACACAAAATTTTCCCATCCTGAGTTGTTTCTTTGCTCTCTTGGTGGTTTCTTTTGTTTTGCTAAAGCTTTTTAATAAGATGAGATCCCAGCTGTTGATTTTTTGTGATATTTCCTGTGTAATCTGAGTTTTGTTCTTAAATTGAGTGTGATCTGAGTTTTGTTCTTAAAGTCTTTGCCAGCTTCACAGGTTCCACCATTTCTGTGTCCCAGCAGATTTACTGTTCCTATTTTAATATTTAGAACTTTGATCCATTTTGATTTTAGTTTAGTGGACAGTGAGAGACATTGGTCTAGATTCAGTTCACGGCATGTGGAAAGCCAGTTTTTCCACCACTGTTTATTAAAGAGGCTATCTTTCTCCAGTAAAGGTGTTTGGCCACTTGACAAAGACATGGTGGTTGAATATATTTGGAGTTGTTTCTGTATCTTCCAATCTGTTCCATTGATCTTCAGGCCTGTGTTTTTGTTTTGTTTTGCTTTGCTTTGCTTTTTGTTTTTGTTTCACTAATTTATTATTCTGTTTTTAATCACAGTAACTATGTAGTATAATGTCAAGTCAGGGGTTGTGATGCCCCCTGCCTGTCCTTTGTTGCCCAGAATTGCTTTCGGTATTCTAGGTCTATTTTGGTTCCAAATGAATTTTAGATTTACTTTCTCTAATTCCATGAGATATGCTATTGGTATTTTAACTGGAATTGCATTAAGTCTGTATAATAATTTTGGAAGTATGACCATTTTCACTATATTTGTTCTTCCTACCCAAGAACAAGGATTATTGTTCCATTTTCTGGTATCCTCTTGAATTTCCTTTTTCAGAGTATTGTAGTTTTTAATGTAGACGTCTTTTACTTCCTTCATTAGATTGATTCCTAAGTATTTAATTTTTTTCTATGCTTTTGTAAAAAGTATTGTTTC